CAGTCGGCCAACACTACGCCCGCTCCTCAGACCACCCGTTCGGTCAGTACAGGTGCGGCCACTTTCTATCTGGTGCTGGAGTTCTGTGAGCACGACTTACGCCAGACTACTGGCCAACTGTACGGTCCGTTTCTCGATGAGAGAGAACAAAAAAGTGATGCAACAGCTGTTGAATGCGCTGTTTTTCATACACTCGCAGAAGATATTGCATCGAGACATGAAAGCGGCCAACATTTTGATCACCAAAAACGGGGTCTTAAAGCTGGCCGACTTTGGTCTCGCCCGAGCCATCAGCTCAGGGAATACAACAAACGCTACACCAATCGTGTGATCACTCTGTGGTATCGGCCGCCGGAGCCATTGCTGGGCGAACGTAATCACGACTCACCCGTAGACCTGTGGGGCGCCGGATGTATAATGGCTGAGGTATGAGTGCTCTAAACACCTGATCCAATGCCCGATCGGCCCTTTGGGAAGGGTATCTGTAAACTAGGGCTTTAAATAATGTTTTTAATCTAGTGTTTTATGGGACTCACACTTACAGATGTGGACCCGGACCCCAATAATGGCCGGCACCACAGATTAGATGCAACACAACCTGTGTTTTAGTACAACTAAACTTCATTCCGATTCTTAATTTATAATTATTTTACAAAGATGGTGGATAATTAATTAAATTAGAGTTAAGTTTTGATAATATTTTCACTTCTATAATAATTTTTCGTTTTATATCTTCATTAAAATCTGTAAAAATTGTTTAAATTTACAAAAATGCCTTAAAATTACTTATAATTTAAGAAAATATGAAATGATAAATAATTTCATCAAATATTTATAATTACATGTATTGAAAACAGAATTAAATAATAATTAAAAGATGTTTTATTGTGTTTTTATTGCATAATTAAAATAATAGTTTTGTTTAATAACTGATTTATATATTTATTAATTAAAGAATTAATAATTTGGACCACTTTTACAGCTGTTTTTAGTCATTTCTCTATTGATTTACAATTGACTCTCAATTTAAATAAAATTCTGGTATTCTTTATATCATTGAATAATTATAAAATGTATATTAAATAAAAATTAGATTTTGTTATTTAGATAATATTAAAACATCAATACAACTGTTTAATAACAATTGTTATAATTTATAACTTATATTATTTATAATAATAAAAATGATGAAAACTCTGGTATAAAACCAAAATATTTCATAAAGTAATTTATATGATAGTATTGTTAATAACTTTAACAAATAAAAAGATAATTAAATGTTAAGTTATATTAATTATAATAATTCAAAATGTATAATAAAATGTATAATTATTACAATTACTGTTCATTAATTAAATAAAATAAAAATTTTTTGTTTTATGTTCCAAATAATTCAATACAATTTTGATGTTGTTATGAATCTATTGATTAAAATAAATTGTTTTGTGTATTATTATAAGAGTTATCAGAGCTTTCATAACGTATATAATTCTCACAGTAACACCACTTGTTATTCTCATCTAGTTAAATGAATTTATTGCTATTAATTAATAGGCGTTGTGAATTTAATTTAATTAAATCACTCACTAAAAGCATTTACAAAAATATTACATAATTATTAATTTGTATACTTTTAAAGTGCTGTTCAGATAGTATTTGTTAATGTCTTCAATATTACTGGCATTTTTTGTTTTAAAAGTGATATAAGTTTTATGTGCTTTTGTTTTACACAATAAAAGTTCACAAAAAAATAAGTAATAATAATAATAATGATTATAAATCATTAAGAACCTTTCATAATTGTAATAATTTAATTACATTATTACTGGAATTATTTATAAATTCTTGACTCAATAATTAAAAACGGGCAAAAATTAATTAACTGATATAACCATATGTGTAGTACTTTTTAAAACTCAGTCACAAACAGTTAAAGTGCAAACACAACCAAATTGAACAATAAAAATGAGCATGATTGCAGTGGCGCTGGGCTTGGT